TTATAGAACAAATTTATGGTGACATATTGTTTTAATTGATGCATCAATAGGATGGTCACATGTATATTTATTATCTTCTCGCAATTTGGCGTTTGCAAGATTGTTTATTTACATGATTAAATTACGAGTATAATTTCTAGATTATTCAATTAATAGAATTTGTGTCACTTCACCACATGCTTTTTATGATTATTACATGTATATTACAATAATTGTTGAACATTCTATATTTTATATTCACACACAAAATGATCTAACTAAATCATTTATTAAATTATTATAATTAATTGCTAAATTATTATTAATGAGGTCTAAATTTTTGTATCTGCTTGAAAATATGCTATATTACATGCAAGAGTACTTGAAGTAAGCTAACAAATTAAAGCAAATTATCCCGATAGCCATTAAATTTTTCGAATAGTCGAGTTTTGGCAATTCAATTATTAATGGTGTGTTTTTATCCACTAAACTATTAAAAATATAAATTTTGGGTCATTTTATTTGATTTTACCGTTAACTCTACCAAATTCAACCATTAATAGTCCGTCTCTTAAATTGTGCACATTCTTAGATTTAACAAAGTTAATGGTGGAATCAAACGGCATAATCCAAAATTACGCTTTTGATAGTTTAATAGATAAAAACATACTATTAATAATTAAATGGCCAAATCTTGACTATTAAAAAAGTTTAATGACTACCCGAATAATTTGCTCCAACAAGTTATCATATATTTTTCCCCTGCAATTAGCGTTTGGTTTTGAGCATTATATTTCTCATTTAAGATTTTTTTTTTGCGATGCGATTTATGTTTTAATTACATTGTCTCAACATACTAAGAGAGCCCCTAAAAAAGATTGAAGATATATATTGGGTATGAATTACATTTTATAATTAATCACATTGAACCATAAATTAGTGATTTGTTTATGCTTATATTTATTTTTTTTATAATTAAAATAGTTAAACTATTGTAGTATTCCAAAAAAAATGGTACTTTTTTGTTGGAAAAGTAACAGTTAATTCAACAGATATGGAGTGATGGCAGTGAGGTCAGTAGTCAAAATGATATAATTCTTTTCAAAAAAATAAGGGTAAATTAGACAATACATTAAATGACACAATTTGTTTAAACTAAAACCTTCTCCTCTTGCTTTATATACAATAAGATAGTTCGTTAATAGGTTTATCTTCAACCTGATATCTCGCTTTATATATAGTAAGATAGTTCGTTAATAGGTTTATCTTCAACCTGATATCTCGCTTTATATATAGTAAGATAGTTCGTGAATAGGTTTATTCTCAATTTGATTATTAAACACGTCTAAAAACTTATTTGGAGTTGCGGTAGTTTATTAGAAAGTATTTCACCTAGTAGATCTGTTAATAAAAGCATTTATTAACTGTTTAAGTGTTTTTAAATATATTATTTGGATACATGATTCAATAACTGCTTATTATATTTGATAATATGTAATTTTAAAAATTTTTAAATGTATTTATTTCTGTATTTGATTCATAATATATGATTAAATGATTAAATTTAATATTCCTTTTAAAGCATAATGTCATTCTAAAAGCATCAAATTGGATCTTTTGTTAAAAAGACTTTTAACACCAAAAATTTCGCTTCTAATTTTATAGAATGATTTTTATTAAATGTTTTAAAAGTACTTTTAGCGTCGAAAATATTTCCTTACCAAGAGTACCACAATCTCAAATGAAACCGTATATTATATACCACTGAACTGAACCAAACACAAATATGTTCTAGTTGGATTTGTTAAAAGCTATGCATACAAACAAGCATGTGGATAAAATTCCCGAAAATTAAGAAAGAGGACAAGATCAAGCTATGCAAGCAGAGAAGTAAAAAACAGTTGAACAAACGGACAAGAAGAGAACTAACTACTTCTAGAGTAGTTGACCACTAAAAGAACTTTAAAAATTCTACTTAGGTGTAGGTCAAGAGATCAAATCCTTTAGCCTGCATTTTAAATCCAAGTTTTCCTGTAGATTTTATCAGCGTGTGCGAAGGCACCTATTTAAACTGCTGATGGTTTAAGTCCCTCCAAATTTTTCTTAGATCTCTTCAGGTCCCCCTTCCCCTACGCACTCATTTGGACCAGTGGTGATTCAATCCCTCCCAGGTTCTCTTTGGATTTCTTCAAGTCCTTCTCTCCCCCTTATATAGAGTAGGAGCAAGTTTAGAATAAATTCTATCTTATTCGGAAAAAAAAATCAGTTTAGGTCGGTGGTAATTTAGTATCTTTTGGATTTTCCTTGAATTTTTTCAGATCCCCTCATTCCTTACGCACAAAAATCTGTTTGGGCCAATGATGGTTCAGTTCCCTCCGAATTTTTCTTGGGGCTTTTCAAGTCCCCCTTTCCTGTGCATGCGTTTGGGCTGATAGTAGTTCAATACCTTCTGAATTCTCCTTGAACCTCTTCAGATCGTTCTCTATTCTATTATAGAGTAGGAGTAGATTTAAAATAAATTCTAGGGATAATTTCACAAACCTCCCCTGAGGTTTCTGACACTTGCACTGAGACCCTTCCAGGTTTTAAAAATTTCACCTAACTCCCTTACTTTTCAAATTTGGTAACAATTCAGTCCAATTAGGATTAAAATATTACTATCATGATAGAGATGACATTTATATTCCATGAATACCCTCTTCCTCCCTATATTAGTACAAGATTGCTTGTTAATAAAAAGGTAGAGATGATTATGGGTATTTTATTCTGAATCATTTAATTTATGTTAAATACATAAATATTGCAAATAAAACTCAAAAGCCGTTACACAAATATTTTTACGAAAGGAAAACTAGCATGTTTTGTATTTAATATAAATGAAGTATTTGAAAGTAAAAAAAAATGTCCATAACATACCAGTTCTTTACAAGTTTCTTCCATTATATGAATAAAGTACTAGCTATTTATGAGTATTTTACTTTGAATCATTAAATACATTAATGTTTATAAGTGAAATTCAAAAAGTGTTATACTAATATTATTACGAAAAAGAAACTAGTAGGTTTTGTATTTAACATAAATTAAATGCGTGAAAGTAAAAAAAGAAATTACCCACTTTTTACCAGCTCTTTACGGGTTTTCTTCTATTATATGAATAAAATACTAGTTATTTATAGGCATTTTACTCTGAATCATATAATTTATGTTGAATACATAAATGTTTGTAAGTAAAATTTAAAAAGTGATATACTAATATTTTTACGAAAGGAAAACTAGTAGGTTTTGTATTTAACATAAATTAAATACGTAAAAGTTAAAAAAAAAAAGAAATTGCCCATAACATATCAGCTCTTTATGGGTTTCCTCTATTACACGAACAAAGTAATAGCTATTTATAAGCAAAAAGAAATATCCCATAAAGTACCAACTCTTTATGGCCTTTGTCTATTATACGAATTAAGTACCAGATTTTTATGGGTATTTTATTCTAAATTATTTAATTTATGTTAAATACATAAATATTTGTAAATAAAATTCAAAAGCCGTTACACAAATATTTTTACGAAAGGAAAACTAGTATGTTTTGTATTTAATATAAATGAAGTATTTGAAAGTAGAAAAAAAAATTATCTATAACATACCAGTTCTTTACGAGTTTCTTCCATTATATGAATAAAGTACTAGTTATTTATGAGTATTTTACTTTGAATCATTTAATTTATATTAAATACACAAATGTTTATAAGTGAAATTCAAAAAATGTTATACTAATATTATTACGAAAGGAAAACTAGTAGGTTTTTATTAACAAGCAATCTTGTACTAATATAGGGAGGAAGAGGGTATTCATGGGATATAAATGTCATCTCTATCATGATAGTAATATTTTAATCCTAATTGGACTGAATTGTTATCAAATTTGAAAAGCAAGGGAGCTAGGTGAAATTTTTAAAACCTAGAGGGGTCTCAGTGAAAGTGTCAGAAACCTCAGGGGAGGCTTGTGAAATTATCCCTTCTTCTATTATATGAATAAAATACTAGTTATTTATAGGCATTTTACTCTGAATCATATAATTTATGTTGAATACATAAATGTTTGTAAGTAAAATTTAAAAAGTGATATACTAATATTTTTACGAAAGGAAAACTAGTAGGTTTTGTATTTAACATAAATTAAATACGTAAAAGTTAAAAAAAAAAGAAATTGCCCATAACATATCAGCTCTTTATGGGTTTCCTCTATTACACGAACAAAGTAATAGCTATTTATAAGCAAAAAGAAATATCCCATAAAGTACCAACTCTTTATGGCCTTTGTCTATTATACGAATTAAGTACCAGATTTTTATGGGTATTTTATTCTAAATTATTTAATTTATGTTAAATACATAAATATTTGTAAATAAAATTCAAAAGCCGTTACACAAATATTTTTACGAAAGGAAAACTAGTATGTTTTGTATTTAATATAAATGAAGTATTTGAAAGTAGAAAAAAAATTATCTATAACATACCAGTTCTTTACGAGTTTCTTCCATTATATGAATAAAGTACTAGTTATTTATGAGTATTTTACTTTGAATCATTTAATTTATATTAAATACACAAATGTTTATAAGTGAAATTCAAAAAATGTTATACTAATATTATTACGAAAGGAAAACTAGTAGGTTTTTATTAACAAGCAATCTTGTACTAATATAGGGAGGAAGAGGGTATTCATGGGATATAAATGTCATCTCTATCATGATAGTAATATTTTAATCCTAATTGGACTGAATTGTTATCAAATTTGAAAAGCAAGGGAGCTAGGTGAAATTTTTAAAACCTAGAGGGGTCTCAGTGAAAGTGTCAGAAACCTCAGGGGAGGTTTGTGAAATTATCCCTAAATTCTATTGTATCTGTAAAAAAAAAAAAAAAAAAGCAGACGAGAAGAGGAATCAGTGGGGCCTAACTATGACATCGTGACCGTTGAACGTGTTGAATCCAATCAAATCAAATCAAATCAATGCAGGACAGACCCTCCGCCACCACCACCAGCACATCCCAACCATGCCCATTCCCTGACACAACTAAGTCCTCCCTCCCCTCCTCGTCCCTTCTCACATTCGTCCTCTCACCCCATGCCAGAAAGCCGGCCGGCAGCCTTCATACCATCAAACCATGCCCTTTCCCTCCTCCGATTCCTCCAAATTTAATCAAAGTCTTTGCAGAAAAATTACATAAGATATCACAAATTCAGGAAATGAAAAACCAGATTTAGATGGGCCGTCGTCGCCGTCGTCAAAACCACTTTCTTGATTTCAATTCCTCCTCTCCATTATATTGTTCACTGTGGCCATTTTTATTAGTTTTGTTATTCTTTGCTAGTTTTTATTTGGTCGATGGGAAAACTAATGCCACCAGTTCTCCAGTCACACCCATCAATCACGATCTTACCATACCAGGTAAATTCTTACTTAAATTTCATTTTATTTCTTATTGTACCCTTTTGTATTGGAAGAAGTGGGTGATATTCTGACATTAGTAAAACATTCTAATTTGGAAAGTCATGATAGTTGTAGCAGAATTAAATTTGGACTGGTGAGATCCGCCAATTTCGCATGTGCTTCATCAAAGATGGATTTTTGGTATTGATTTATTGTTGCCTCCTCAGGCTGCTTCATTCAAGTTGAATGGGAAACACAAAAATTTGAATGTAAACGGGTCCTTTTCTGAACTAACAACAGTTTGATTAGGTCTAGCTTTACTGTTTAAAAATCCAAGCGTCTTATAAGCAAAGCTGAATCTTTCTTTTCGTGTTCTTTTCTTGTGTCGAATTATGCAGTGGAGCTTTGTTGGAAGAAATTGAAGCCTTGGTGCACCGCCACCCAGACAAACTATCAGTGCGTTTATTGGTTTCTTTGGTTTTTTTCCACTTTTGTTGTTGTCGTTGTTATAATTGGGAATAATGTTTCCTGATTATTTTGTCATAACTTGATTAGATTGAGACAATTCCCAGTAAGAACAAGGGGTACAATGCAGAGATGACTGTGGTTACTTATTGTAGGAAAAGGAAAGATTGTGATGGCAAGTCCAAGTTCAGAGTACTCCTTGTAAGATTTTTCTCCACATATATTTTTTAATTGGTTTCGTTTTAATTTGCAGAATTAGGTAACATTTTCCCAATGTAGATCTACAAGCTCATTACCTTTTTCTTTTTTCTTTCTCTAAATTCTGTCATCATAAGAAAGGAGTATTATAACAATGACAGAAAGCATCCTTGCTTAGAGGAAACAAAGAGAGGGAACACCTAAAGAAAAAAAAAAAAAAAACAGAAGAAGAGGAAAAGTTGCAAAAACTATACATTTTTTTGTTTCTATGCTGACTTGTGAGTAGATAGAAGTGTGCTTCCTGCACCTAAATGTATCATATTTGACATTTAGCGTTTAGAAAATCTCAGATTTGCCATTGCTGCTGTTTTTGACAGATAATTACTTGTATTCCAGAGTTTTGGTCAGCATGGAAGGGAACTCATTACCTCTGAGCTTGCGTTTCGGATTCTTTCTATATTAAGTGAAGAAGAATTTTTACCTTATACAGATCGAGGGTCAGTAAATGACACCCTTGATAATCTTGTTATAAAGGTAATATTTGTTTTCTTGGCTTCTGTTGTGTAAATTCTTGTTTATTTTGGCATCTACACATTCTTGTGTTCAGTATGTTATACTAATTTTCATCAGTAGAAGCTGAACAAAATTCTCTTCCAACTTCAAACTGATTACAGCTCGTTATTAAGCAGCTCTGCTGATGTTATTAATCACAAGAAGTTCTTTTTTAGTTTGATCTTGAATTAGAAACTAATACTATCTCTTTTATTATGTGAACATGCCATATTCTACTTGTATCCTGAGAATTGAATTATGCTGCATATATTGTGTCTTTTCTATACTAAGAAAGACGTTGCCTTCTAGAACTTACACTTATTCTAAATCAAAGTGCATGTTGCTCTGTCAGGTTGTACCAATGGAAAATTTGAATGGCCGCAAACTTGTTGAAGCGGGAGACTTTTGTGAGAGGAGAAATGGTCTTTCATTTTATCATAGTGGCTATGGAGTTTGTACAGGACTACAAGTAAAAAATACTAAAAAGTTTGTCTTTTCTGGCAGGGAGAGGGGTTGATCTTAATCGAAATTGGAGTGTGGATTGGGGCAAAAAAGAAAAGGTGTGTTTAATGAACTTTTCAGGATATTTTTTTTCCTGTATTCTGGTCTTTGATCCTTCTAAAATTTTCTATCCAGGATATGATGTCCAATATTTTTATCTCTCCTGCTGTCTTGATTCTTGTTTACCTATATGCTGAGTGGTGGCTGATACATCAATACTATCTTTTGGATTGATCACACCCCCCTCCCTGGGGGTGGTATTGTTATTTTACAAATTAGTATATGGGTCCATTCCACATGCTAACAAGTTCTTCTGCCTGCTTTATTCTCTTTCAGGATTATGATCCCTATGAAGAAAATCCAGGGACTGCTCCTTTTAGTGAGCCTGAGACTCAATTCATGCGGAAGCTTTCGATATCTTTTGAGCCCCATGTGTGGGTTAATGTTCATTCAGGAATGGAAGTAAGCTTTGATTCTTAAATATCTCTAGCTTCTGCCACTGCAAGTTTGCTCCAAGATTTGCATTTTGTAAAGTTAGCACATAAGTTTAAGTTTTCAGCACAATCTATTTTAAGGCATTTGTCACCCAGCCTGTGGTTGTGGACTATCTTTGCAGCAATTAAGCTGTTTCCTTCTGGACTTAACTGTAAAACCTGTTCTTTCAAAATGCATTGCATCTTGAAGCCCCGACAGTATTCCTCTTTTTTAGTTTTTGTGTGTTTCATCTTTCTTTTACCTTTTTGTTTTCTTCAAATCTTCATGGAAGCGATCTTTGTTTTTCAATTGATATAGTTGATGAACATGTCCTGTTATTCAATCAAAGCAGCTTCTGAATGTGACTGGATATGCATTCCCAGTAAAATGAAGTTTTTTGGTGCCAAGCTTCTTTCTTTGACATATCAGACATTTATTGATCAGGTTTTTATACTATAATCTTGGGATGAGTTCTCAGATGAATAAGGCAGCAAATACAACAGTCTTACATGTTTGTTTTCAGACTAGATGAGTACATGGAGTTTTACGGCTTTATATTTCCTGGACCTAATTCACATTGAATTGGTAACCTGCATCTGCCTCGTTATTATGCGCAGTAAATAGTAATACCATATTGCTGTAATATTTGGTTTTTTGTGTCAGTTTTCATCAGTTGTCGTTTATTGTTTTCGTTAGGCCTTATTTATGCCATATGATCACAAAAATACGACTCCAGATGGATCTCCTTCCCTGAGAATGAGATCAATGCTTGAAAAGTTGAACCATCTTCACTTGAAAGATCGTTGTTTAATTGGATCTGGTGGAGGCTCTGTCGGGTTTGTATACTTACACTGATATCCTGCAATAACTGGTTTGTTCTGAAAGTGGCCATGCATTATGTTACCTCAGCTTAAGTGGTATTTATATGGGTTTATTCAAAGACCTAAAGTGACCCCTATTGACATTCTTATTCTGTTTACCACTGCAATGCGCTGCTGCTTTCTGCCTGACTACATTGCTGGTTGATTCGGTGTAAATTTTTTTTTCTTTTTTCCTGACTGCAAAAGGCCATGAAGCATGTTATCCAGTGAATAAGCAGCCCTGGTGAACTTAGAACCTACCCGTGCAGTTAATTTGCAGTGTTGTTATTTTCAAATCAAGCTCTTTTAGGATGGAATAATAGCAGTGCTTGCATTTTAAATTAGACAGGAAACGTGTTGCTTTTACAATGTTCTTATTGTTTTGCATAACAGATTATTTTGACTGCTTTTTTTTTGGGTGTGTTTAGATATCTAGCTCACGGGACAGCTACTGATTACATGTATGATGTCACAAAGGTCCCCATGGCATTCACCTTTGAGGTGTGTGATTCTCTTCTATATGTTGTTTAAGTTGAGTATTTTCTCGATTTCGATGTTCTGTTCTTAATGCGTGCACCTTGGACTAGCAGATATACGGAGATGGTACAGCCTCCTCAAAGGACTGCTTTAGAATGTTCAATCCCATCGACATCACCACCTTTAATGTATGTTGGTTTTCAAGTTATGTACATAGATACAAGTGTATTAGATTGGTTAATTCAAGTTTCAAATTTCTCTTTGGAAGGAGATTTATTGAGCTAATTATAAGTAGCGTCTGTTCATGGTTAGTTCTGGGAACTTATCAGTATTGATCTTTTGAATTTCAGAAGGTTCTCAATGATTGGTCTGCTGCATTTTTAACACTGTTCAATTGGGTGAGTTGCAAGTGGATGGACTTCATTCAGGGGATGTGGCATCAAGTTCTGAGAAGTGGATATCCATAGATGACTACTTGAATGGTTATCTGTTCGAGAGGAGAAATAGATACGGCAAGAAGATGGAAGTGCTTGAACTCGGAATGCAGGAGATCAGAACATATTTCCGATTATTTCTGTTATCATCAGTCCTTTTGATGTTTATGTTTTGTTCTAGAATCTCGAAGAGCACAAGACCTATTGTTTCAGCAATGTCCTTGTAATGATGTACTCTTGGCCCTCCTGTTGCTCAATGAAATTGGAGGGTCAAGCGAGAGACGGCGAGAGAGCAATTTTGGCGCACCTGTAATTTATTCCCTGTAGCAATTCTTTTTGTATTTTTGTCCCTTGTACCTCATTTCCTTTTTTTTTTCCACTGCAAGTGAATCTACAGCCCCTTAAGGATAATTTGGAACAGTAAGTCTCATTTTATGCATTTGAACGATCTCCAATTTTCCTTCAAGAAGATAACCAGTGCATGTCTCAAATGTTATGCATCGCTGCAAGATTCTCTGAAGTTACTCGCAATACAGCATGAAACTTGCTAAAAGCCTTCTGATTGCTTGCTCAAACATGCCAAATTAGAAAATTTTGTCTCATCCTCTTGTACGTTTTCAGAGTTAAATGGGATTCACAATGAAATTGCACAGGATAAACCATTTTGACTCGCAAATTGAGAAACTAATGCCTCAAAATTATCAGTAGAATATTACACTTCCATGATCACAATCAAAGACAGAATGTTTCCCAGTTTATTTACAATCTACAATTAACACTGGTCCTCAGAACAACACAATCATCTTGAGGACCTCTTCCTAGAATTTTTAGAATCATTTTAAGGATAAAAAATATATCATTGTTCTCTTCTGTATAGAAAGGAAAATGGAACCTTCAATCTGGATGCATAACAAAGAAGTGTAAGACATTCAATTTCAAGTGGTCGAAGGTAGAAGATAGATATTTCAGGGCCTCTGATGCATCTTAATCCTTTTGGAGTCTTGAAGCATCTAACTGCTACATCTGATTTCACCTTCATCCTCTCTGATTTTGCATCATCAAACTTCAACATCAAAGACTTCAGACACAATCTTATATCTGCACTAAGCTGGAATAGCCTATCACATATCAACCTGCACAAAGAGCAAATTAAGAGGAGACCTGGTGCAGGGTGCAGGAGGATGAGTGAATCTCATTGGCATAAACTCTTGGGAGGCAAATAGAAATGAGAGTATTACATATTAAGTTTTTTACTGGAAATTCAGAAAGATAATCACAACTTGACCCCCTTCTGCAAATTTTGAAATTCATAATGGGCAAAAGCTTTGGAAATTGGAAGATGCTTATGATGATTAAAATTACAAAGGCACAGAACCGGAGCTTACCTCCATGAAAGGGTCGCAGCATGTAGACTCAAACAGATGATTTATCAACACAATCACATGGATCAGTATTTTGGTTTGGCCAAAGGTATTGTGAAACCAACTACACTTTCAATGTAGACTTCATATATCGCAGAGCAGATCGTAACATTGCTCTAGCTTTCCTATCTGGGAGGCATCCAGATGATAGCATTTCTTCATAAACAGCTGGAACCTAAAATGTGAACAACTTGACAGAAATTAGTATGGAAATGAAAGTTAAATTTATAAACGAACCAAAACAATGACATATTATCACACCAGTTCCCCTGCAACGCATTTGGGATTTTGGTGAATCTTTATGTGCATGAATGATACCTGAGATCTGAAGCTTCCCAAAAGCAATTTACAGGTGACATAGTCCTGAACTGATGCAAAATATTCTACAGTTCCTTAGGACAATTAAAACACCTCTCTCTCTCTCTCTTCCCATGATCCCTAAAGAAAAGTATAAGCAGTTGGCAAAACTGTATTTTATACTTTCGTGTAAACTGTTGTACACCAAAATTTTTAAGCCAATTGAGAAGGGAGCATCAGTTCCAGACTAGATATCATATGTTGAATGGTAGGAGCCAAAATCCTGTAAATTTATTGAAAGCATTCATCCACAAAATATCCGTCTCTTTATCACTAAAAAAAATGGAGAGATAATTGAGTAGTCCAGAGTAAAAAGAAGGAAAACCTTCCTGACACCAATAGTTAAGATCAAACTAAGATAAAGCAGAAACAAATTTAACTGCACTACCTGCCTCAGTCTTTGAGAGTTAGAAGTGCACAACACCTAGAAGACTAGCAGAGATCTATGCATTTTGTTAGGTTATCTATAGCAAGATGATAAGTGACTTTCTAATACTCATCAACTGTATAATCCCAAATAGTATGTTGTATTTTACCCTCGTGATCGGAAACCGATACATGAATGTAAGATCAGCATTCGCTAAAGTCTTAAACTCTTTCTACCATATCCTTGAGGTAGCTATTGTGAATAAGCAAGTAATACTAAAGAATAGCACAAAAAATACTGTGGAAAAATTAACCAACAAATTGCAGCAGTGCAAGAGAAGGATTGGATTAAAAAAAAAAGATTTTTAGTAATCTCATTCATTCTGAGAAACAGTCTATTCAGATCTACCACATGAAAGAGATCTTTGCCTATGCAAAAATGCTCTAATCGAAATGAAAAAGAATAGAATACTTGGAGAAGATTAATGCCTAACCTTTTCGAATTTCTCTACACGAATTAGAGCCTTCATGAGTGTAGTGTAAGTAACCACATCTGGCTTAAGGTCCTGTAGATATAGAATATTACAGAAAGGAAGAGATGATTAATTCAAAACAATATACATGCATACACACACATACATACACACACGCGCACGCGCACGCGCACACACACACACACACACACACACATATATATATATATATAGAGAGAGAGAGAGTGATCCAACATAGAACTTTTTCAGGCATCAACTCACATTATCCTTCATGTACTGTAAAACAGAAAAGGCTTCAGAATCCTCCTATCCTCACTAAATGCATTGATAAGTGAATTTAAAGCCAATAAACTAGGCTTTAGACCTTCTCCTCTCATTACCCGAAATGCATTTACTGCTTGCTCCGATAATCCCTGTGAAAATGTGAAGAACCGTACAATCAGCAAACATTTTTCAAAGCTTTAGTTACAGCAATGATCTGTAGATCTGGCTCCCAGTATAAATTATGGTGGAAGCAAGAGCAAGATGCAGTAACAGGTGCATAGCTTGTTTGGTTAAATCGTGTCTCACAACTGTTCCACCAGTCTACTGATAGAATAGTCACTAAATTGATAACTAGTGCATGAGTTAAGCCCTTCACAAAAATGTGGGCCTATTGCATCCCAAAATAAGTGAAAAAAAATGATAACATTGTTTGAGAAAAGGCTTGCATTTTTGCAGTGAGAGGGATACAGAATTATGGGCACAACAAGAAATGGTGGTAACATACATGTCCACATAAACGAAATCAAGCCACGAGAAAGTCTAAAAGTAAAGCAAAATATATGGCAGACAATGAAGGACAAATTGTATTCAGTCATGGTAAATCTTAAAAGCTGCTTCCAGCCATTCCTTGTACTGAAACATCTATGCAATTGTGTGTAGGTGCCTGTAGAAATGTATGCTAAGAACATCTCTACGAAAGCCTAAGGAGGCAACACGGTAAGTTAAACAATGTAAGACCACATTAATCAAGCAATGAGGATAGGCTGATCACCATGCATTACTTAGTGAAGTGTATATAGATTAGGTTCTCATTAAAGACATACCCTCTGTGCATAAGCATTGATCAAGGCATTGTACATGGTTGAGGATGGTTTCAATCCTACAGATTTCATCACCTCCAAGCACTCTATTGCGTCGGTGAATCTCCCTGACCGTCCATATATATCAACAAGTGTGTATATGTAACAACAGTAGGCAGTAACCCCTGACTCTGCATCTTACCGAGCAAGTCCTTCACATCCTCCCACCTCTCCTGCTCCCCAAACGAATTAATCATTATATTGTATGTTGTGGTGCAAGGCAAACAACCGCTTTTTTGCATTGCCTCAAACAACTCCTCGGATTTATTATGATGCCCGTGCTTACAATGACAGTCAATAAGCGTATTCCATGTCACAGTATCTGGCTCAATTCCCTCCAATTTCATCCTCTCAAATGTATCCATTGCATGATGTAAGCAATTATACTTGCCGAAAGTATCAATCATGACATTGTAGAATTGCCTGTCAGGAGTCACCCCGTTATTCTTCATTTCCTTGAGCACCTGAAACGATCTCTGCCACTCTCCCCTATCACGATAACTAGCTAAAATCCTACTAAAAACATGCGAATTAGGTTGAACGTTATTAGCTTCCATTTCTTTCAATACAATTCTCGCGCTCTCCCACCTACCGGCATTTCCGTAAGCATCAATAAGCAGACCATACGTGTGCTCATCCGGGGCCACCCCGCTCCTCTCCATCTCTGACACAACATCCTCGGCATCCCTCAAGGCACCGGTCTTAACATATCCTTTGAGGAGGGCATTATAAGCCCTCGTCCTGGGCTTCAGTCCACCTTCTTTCAACTCCTCAAAAACAGCCTCGGCCTCCTCGGTCCTCCCCGAATTCCCCAACTGCGAAATGACAGCAACCAAAGTTGCAGTCTTGGGACTCAACCCGTTTCCTTGGATTACGGATAGGAAATACAAGGCCCTACTAACGTCACCAGCTTTGGAGAACCCCACAGTTACATCATTCAACAACTGCCCATCAAGCTCGATCCTATCAGCCTCTATTTCGTCATACAATTTTTCTAAGACGGTGGAATCAATGGAATTGTTGCGCAAAAGTGACTGAATAATCAAACTATAATTGACAAAATCAGATTGGTAGCCGTCGCGACGCATTCTGGCCATCAAATTAAGGGCTTTTTCGAGGTCGTCATTCCGAGCACAGGCGCCAATGAGGGCATTATAAGTCAAGGGAGTCAACCTCTGGCGCTGGGAGAGCAAGAAGGCTTCGTAAAGCTTGTCGGAGCGTCCGAGGGCGTGGATGAGAATGGAGTAGAGAAGCTCGTAGGAGAAGCAAAGATTGTGTTTTTGGAGCCAGGTGACGAGAGCATATGCGGTGGGGATAGAGGAAGGAGTGGAGGAGAGTGATTTTAAGAGGGAATGCCAAAGCGGGGCGGGCACGGCTCGGTAGGACTCGGCGAGACGGAGCTCAGCGGGGTGAAGCTGGGTAGGGGAGTCAGCGGAGCTGTTAGAGTGGTCGGGAGTGTAAGTAGAGAGGAATTCGAGGAGTGGGGAGAAGTCGTAGCGGCGGTTGTTCAAGGAAGCGACGTCGTCTTGGTCGTCGTCCTCCTCTTGTCGGTTGTCTAGGCTGAGCTGGTGGGAGGAGAGAGACGTGGCGGTGACACAACTAATGAGAGAGATAGCAGTGGGGAAGAATTGATGGTGGTGGCGGGAGGATTGGCGGCGGAGTGATATGATGGGAGGAAGCGAAATTGGAGCGGGGGTGGCTGCAAAGCTACGCCTATGTTCATCTTCCTTCCTACTGGCCTTTCTTGCTCACCTGAAGGCTGATTTGAGCCTGAGCCTGAGCCTGAGCCTGAGGTGGTCAGACAGGCGGAGGAAGATAGTTTCATACTTCCATTTCATCTCTCTCTTTTTGTTTTGTTTGTTTTTTTTTTTGGTTGTCAAAAAAAAAATCACTTTACCCAAAAAATCCTCATATGCAGAATTATATGACGGTAGTATCCCCCACCGTGCCTAAACAGGAAAGAGACGAGAGAGTGCCGATTATGTTTATATTTAGAGATAATTTCAAAAACCTCCCTTGAGGTTTTTTCTAATCACACCTAATACCCCTAAAGTTTCTAAAATTACACTTAACACCCTTAAAATGACAACATTTGTAACATGTCAGCTCTTTTATATAAAAATAATATTAAAAAATATATTTAGTAGAGGGACTATAGTATTCTTCCAATTTTGCCCTTTTGCAAGTTGATTTTTAAAATTTAAAAGATGAAAATAAAAACAAATAGGACTGCAATATTTTCATAGAATTGAAGGGGTGTAAATACAATAACTGCTAAATTGTATAATTTTTATTGATTTGGTAAGATCTATACCAAAGTTTCAGATAGAAAGGAAATAAAAATTTTTAAATACTGTTTGTTAGCCAATTTTTCAAAAATTTTGTTTGTAATAATTGAACACCATTATAGGTATATTTAGCATGCATTTTTTTTTCATGATTTCAACTGCATGCCAACCTTTTTCTTCACAAAATGAATGATTTTAACTTATTTTTTCCTCACATTTTACTGATTAAATTAGATAACAAGATAAAAATCGTAGTTAAAAATGGATAGATTTTCTATATTTAAATTGTCTAAGTACCTCAAAATCTATTTTTGGTTGCATATGTAAAAAAAAAAAGCCCAAAATGTACCCAAATTTAATGACATTTTTTGTTATTTTATTTTTACATAATCGAACATAAATGTTTTTTTCTTTTTTCTTGCCCTTTCCTGCATAAGAAATATGAAAAGGGCATAAAATGAATTAATTTATTTTCATTTTCATTTTTTAGTTTTCAAAAATCAACTTGCAAAAGAGCAAACTAGAAGAACATTATGGACTCTCTTCTAAATACATTTTTAATACTTTTTTACCTAATGGGGTTGATATGTTACAAAAATTGTTATTCTAAGGATGCTAAGTGTGATTTCAGAGCTGGGTGTGATTAGGAAAAACCTCAAGGACGTTTCTGAAATTATTCCTTATGTTTCTGAAATTTCGGAGCTAGGTGTTTCTGTCTGCTGTTTACGTTAAAACCCTACGCACAGCAGACAGAGGTTTATCGGGCTGTAAAGGTCGATTCTTTGGTTGGTGGTGGGTGTTGCCAGGAGGAGGAGGAGGAGCTCTAATGGCGGGCTCTCGAGTTCAAGTAAACAAACAACACAAGACTCGATTTGCTTCCAAGTCGTCTCGCAATGCCCATAAAGTTCCTCTACAAGGTTAAACTAATTCGATTTCACTTTCTTCCCCTTTATTTACCATTTTACATCTCCTAATTTCTCTCTCTCTCTCTCTCTCTCTCTCTCTCAGATAAGCATAAAATCGCAAAATCCCATGCTAATGTTGGCAAAGGAGCTCGAGCAGCTCGACTTCAACGTAGCAAGATGGTAGCTTTTCTTTTCTCTCTTTTGCTCTTTTTGTTGTTCTTTTTTATTGTTAGATTAGATGGCCTTTTGGGTCTATAAAGCTATCTGTTTGAATGGGGCAATTGAAAATTTGTGATTTTGTAGCTGAGAGACCAGAAGCGGGCGGAGCTACTGAAGGAGAAAAGGTTCTCTTCTGGATCAGGAAGCCCACCCCGCATTGTCGTGAGTGCTATTTGCCGCTAATCATCTATGCTTCCATCCTAACCTCTAATTTGATCATTAATATTAAGTGTCTTGTTTAATTATGTATAGGTTTTATTTGGTTTATCGTCTTCTGTGGACCTGAATTCACTTGAAGAAGATCTCCTGGGATTATTATCGCCGCAGAGAAATGCCATTGGGTCTCCTGCAGTTGCTTCCTCTGAATACAAGCTCAGAGCTACTGTGAGCTCGATTCCAGTTTTATTAGCTATGATTACTAGCATCCTGTAATTTGTCTGTTAAGAGAATGTTATCTTTGTAGTTAATAAAAATTTTCACAACGTTTTTCAAGCTCTTCTAAGTTATTAGAGACCACATGTAATATTTCCTGGTCGGGTTTGATGTAAATCAACTTGAATGCCCCTGAATGGCTAGCTTATGGCTATCTTTTCAAAGTAATTCACCTCAGAATTTGCTGGGTGGTAGGTGCATACTCATGAAGGATTTTCATAGATATCATGAGAATCAGTTTCTATAGAAATGTACTGCTTAAGATTCTAGTATTAGCTCTTTTCTTGTCGCCAAGAAGCATACAATTTAGTCCGCTGGACACATCAAAATCATATCCTATGCCATTTTGGTTGGGAAATTTAAATTGTTTTTCAGGATGAAGTTTGCAAAAGACTAACTAATATCGCTTTCTCTAGATCTTGAAAGCCCCTTATGGTGATTTGTCAGCATGCATGGAAATGGCCAAGGTACTTCTTCAATTTAGTTGCTGAACCTGGATTGTAGAGACTGTTGTTGCAATGCTGATGCTTAGATGCTTTTCTGTTTTAGGTTGCTGATTTAATTGCTTTTGTGGCATCTGCCAGCTTTCTAAGTGAAGATGACAGTTCTAACCTTTACATAGATTCATTTGGGTCTCAATGCCTTTCGGTGTTTAGAGCTGTCGGTCTACCAAGCACTGTTGTTTTGATTCGTGTAAGTTTTTCTGTCCTGTTTCTTCCATTTTTTACTGCTTGTTGCTTATTTGGTTAATGATTATGAGTTAAAACTTTTTGCAAATTTCTAGGATCTACCAACAGCATTGAAAAGGAAACATGATTTGAGGAAGGCTTGTACATCTAGCCTTGTATCTGAATTTCCTGAAGATTGTAAGTTTTATCCCGCAGATACAAAGGATGAATTACACAAGGTAATGTCGATACTCGTTGCCATTTTTCCATTATTTTATACGAAACTTGACATATTAGTCACTGATTATAAACAAAAATACTTCTGTCACGTTGTCTTTATTTGAGTTTCATGGCAGCTTAGTTGTTTTTTTTATCCCTATAAGAGTTAATATTCTCATTCATTGGTTACAGTTTATGTGGCTTTTCAAGGAACAAAGGCTCACAGTTCCTCATTGGCGAAACCAGCGGCCTTATATTGTGGCTCAAAAGGTATTTTTAGCAGACATATCTTCTCTTCACTTTGTTAGCATTATGCCTTGAGTACTTTCCTGTTGTGCTTGGGGACCATATGGATGCATTGTACATGGAAAATTGGAGAAACATAATAGATTCATCCTAATAAATCTTATTTTCTATTCAATAGTTCTATCTAGATTTTGAAATGTCTTTCTGATTGTGTGTATGGAAAAGATAGGACTGGTTCGATCTATTAGTTTTATTTTGGTGGTGTACAGGTTGACTTGGTAGAAGATAATTGTACTCCTGGGAATTGTACCCTTCTTCTTACTGGTTATCTGCGTGCTCGCTCTTTGTCAATAAACCAGCTGGTAACTTGTCAGCCTTTGTTTTCCATCTCGTACTATTCTTGGTGTTCAATGCCTGAGCCTTTCTGGATTAGGTTCATGTTTCAGGTGCAGGGGATTTTCAATTGTCGAAAATTGAACTTCTTAAGGATCCATGCCCTCTGAGTGTCAAGAAAGGAGGTGACTCAATGCATTCAGATGATAATCATACCCAGGTATTGTGGTTGATTGCCCCAGTAAAACAATCTAAAAATGATCAGGAAAATTCTTATGATGTTTATACGGGCAACGAAAGGAAAGGGATTCCTTGTTAATCATGTAATGAACGGTGTTTTGGGTTCAATCTTAAAATGTCATTGAAGTCGCTTCCTTTCGTTCTGATGGGTTCATTTTCAGATGGAAACTCGGACTCAGTCTATCCCTTCAGTGCACTGCAAATTCTTTCCTTTCCTTCCCTTCAGAAAATGAATCAAAACACAAATAAACCCAATATACCCAATTCTTTGCCTATCTGTTTCTTGCAACTTCTTCAATTTATTGTTTAGTAAAATAAGCAACATTATTTGTCTGGACCCTGGTTTGTGATATCCAATACATGTTTCTGACATTTCAGGTAATCAGGTGCCTAATGCCTGATCCAATGGAGCAAGAGCCTTTACTTGTTGAAAATATCCCTGATCCCTTGGCAGGAGAGCAGGTAGTTTGTTTTATTTTTGAAAAGGTTGCGAGTAGAACATAGCTAAAAAGAGAAATAACTTGAGTTGCATGTTAGTTGTTGGTACTTGGTATAGATCAGTAATCTTGTCACATTTTATTCTTGCTTTTTATCCTGGAAAGGGTAGAAAGATGGAAACTCTTTACCTAGCGCTGCAATAGTTTGTTGTTGATGAATTTTGGCAAAAGTTTCATGATCCTAGGTTGTTGTATACCGTAATTATGTAATTGAGATTTTACTTTAAATTAACTTTCAGCATGTATTGTTTTAACATTTTTTTATTGGAGATAACTTATGACATGCTATGGACTAGACTTGGCCAACAGAAGCAGAAATGGCTGAAGCCGACAGAAATCACAAGGATAAAAAGCCAAAAAAGAGGATTCTTCCTCCGGGTACATCTGAATACCAGGTCAATACTTTTGTATATTCTCAAATTACTCCCCTCTTTCCTACCTTCTTCTGCCATTGGATAACGAGATGACTTCTGATATGCATCTAAATTACAATGTGCAGGCTGCTTGGATTGTTGACAATTCAGATATTGACTATACAGATAGTGATGACAATGAAGATGACGCTATGGTCCTGGAAGAAAGAGGGAGTGACTTTTAGACCAAAGAGAATGAAAATGGCTTTGAGCCTGATGATGATGAGTCTTCTCTTCCAGGGGAGTATGATGAACAGACTGAAACAGATTCCATAATGATGGTGAGCA